GGAAGCATATTAAGGAAGTTCTATTATTCAGAGCAAAACCAGTTTCTTAAAATACTCTTATTTACTGCATCCAGTGATTGCTGTCCTTACTAGACACTGTATTTTTAACAGGTATGTTTCGTATAGGCTGATGTGCAAGTACACCGAAAGAGGCTACACACAGATCAGTTACTTATTTTAGAGTAGGCTTTTAATGCTTGTTCTGATGCCCCTTGTGATACAGGAAATTATTCTAAGATGTTTTCCCAGCTTGAGTCGTTCTATAATTGCCTCTTGCATGTAAAATGAGTACTGCATAGCAATGAGGAAAAGAAGGTGGGAACTGTTCCTATCAGAATAAGTGAAAACATTCTGATATTTGGCAAATACGGATGACAGCCAGTACTTACCATACTGTCAACGAAAGTAAGTCTGCCTAGCTGAAAAATGAAGACAGACTTCAAGGTCACAAATGAGCTGGAGCAAGAAGAATGTGAAAAAGTAGTGGGAGAGTCTACATCAACAATAATGTTTGATTTACAGTTCCAAGCAAACACCCAAGGAGAGATCACCTGCTACCAGCTTCTGCAGAGTTGGCTTGTTCACATTTGAAACAGGTATCAGGTAAACTGGCTGCAAGGTTCTTCTGCACTGAGAGCTTTTGAAAGGGTTTTTGGTTTGTTTGGTGGTTTGTTTTTTTTTTTTTAATACTAGGGACTATCAGGTCTGTTACTGAAGATGACCTTAAAGAGTGATGGCCTTTGAGCAAAGCAGCAGCAGCACATTGCACTTGAAGCGTCTGTTATGACATTTTAAATTGTACAGAATATAATGCAGAAAAAAGGAAAAAAAAACATAACAAACAAACCAACTAAACAGCCATCTCCAACTCTGAAACCTGAACCAGGACAAATAAATCACAGTTGTCAAATACTAAACAATTGGTAGTGTATTAAAAGTAATGAATCTATAAATAGTACCAGCACCAGTTAGAAACAACCCTCTTGGACCACACAGGGTCAACTGTAAAAAGCCACAATCAGTTGTGTTTAGAGTTCAGCATATGGGGATACAAATTCTACTACAAGTCCATGTTCTGTAACACAGCTCAGCTTGATCCTAGTTATAAAAACTATAATGTTGAAGACTGGTAGACTCAATATAGATATAAAGAAGCTACAGAAAAATGCCATAAATTCTAGTTTTCCTCCGCTGATAGAAAGTTACATAAGAAGCATTAAGGCCAGTAATCAAAACCACTGAAAACTGAGAAAAAAAGTTACAGTTTTATAACAACTTATATGGCTACGTAAACGTTCAATTACTACACACAGTAAATATTGTATCTTCATTACCAAACTTATTTAAACAGAGATTTACCATATGCAGGTAAAGACAATATAAGCATATAAAGCTAAGCCTTTATAGAGAGGTATGTATTAGAGTTGACTCAGTTTTAGCACCCTTTGCTCTAGGGAGGCTGTGTGAAAAGAAGGGGGTTTGCATTTCTATCAAGTTTCCAGAACTGGAAGTTTCTCTCATGGGAGTTCATTTAAAATGTTCAGCTAGCTCTTAAACCAGAATTCCTCATTGTTGATTACCTGACTTTCATAATACTTTTATGCAAACAGGTTGTCATATTTAACAGACAAGCAAACAACATTCAGAAAACACAGCTATTAAAAATATCAGGCGTGCGCAACTGAAATATGCAGACCATGCAGGTTTCTTTTTTAATAAGCTGAATTCTTATAGCACTTAGTATGTTCTAAGCATAGCTCTAGCTAACCTGTAAATCCCAACATGGTAAAAGTTGCCTTATACATTGCATCAAGAAACAAATTTAAAAAAAAAAAAAAAAGGGAGAAGAAGAAATGTTTCCCAGCCACCTTCTGATCAAGATGAAGGAAATCTTGAAAATGAACCTCCCAAAATTACACTTTTAGTGTCACAGGTACAAGGACTACACTCATCATTCCGTATTCTCCAAGACCAGCTTCTGTTTCTTTTGTCAGTGGATTCATTTCAGCCCGGGGCAAGGTCTGAGATGAGCTCAAAGAACAGTGCTGAAACACAGAATATTGTTCCTCATTTGTTCCTCAAAGAATTTCACATTAACTTTGTGATGGATGAGAGACTACTTGTCGTGGTTTTGCCCACCAGCCCATCGCTGGGGCTGAGGATGGTTTTGTCCAGGTGATTTCCAGACAAAAAACCAATCAAAAAGTTCAGTGACGCCTTTGCTAATTACATCTTTAAGAAAACGGAAGAGAAGGTTGTGGAGCAGTTGAAATTAGGAGCAGCAGCCATGTAGGAGAGACGCGGTGGGCCCGAGGAGGGCCAAGGCCCCCTCCTCCCCGGCTTGGGCCGGGGGGGGGCAGGTGCAGCACTGAAGCCTCTCTTCTCTCTTGTGAGAGAGTGAAGAAAAAAAAAGGTTTAAAAGACGAACTGCTTAGAGGAGAAACCGCTACCGAAGAATTCCAGCCATGAGATAACAGGATTTTCAAGGTCGAAGCTGGCAGCACAGGAAAGAGAAGAAAAGTTCGAAGGGGGGAGAACTGCTTTTTCTCCCTTCTGCTCTCCCTCCCTTCAGCAGGGTAAAGACTGAAAAATAAAACCCTGCCACTTGTGAAAATTTGTTGGGGTGAAGAGACCCCCCATGCGGCTCACAGAGGAGCTTGTGGATGCACCAGAGATTTGTGACTTTAACAGAGAAAGCCTTATGCTGGAGTAAAAGCGGCTCAGATGAGGCAGAGTCCTGTTAAAGACTTTGTGACCCTTGAAGGGATCGATGCTTATGCTGGAGCGAGACGGCTCAGATAAGCTTGGGATCTCAGTGAGAGATCCATGCTGCTGCTGTTGAAGATTTATGACCCTGACGGGTATTAGAACCTACGCTGGAACACAAAACAGTTCAGGTAGGAATGTTGGGATCCATGTGTGGGATCCGTGCTGCTGGTGCTAGAGAGAACCTACGCTGGAGCAGAAAATGACTCAGGTGGGATATTGGGATCCGAGTAAAGGGATCCAGACTAGACCCATGCCGAGAAGTCAATCAAGGACTGTTCTCCCATGGGGAGGGACCTCCATAGGGAAACAGGGGTGAACTCTTAAACCATTATCCCCTGTAACCCTGTGGAAGAAGATCCATAGTAAGCAAGTGTCCCCTTGCAAGTCTATGGAAGGAGACCTTTCAGGACCTGGGTAACCCTCAGCCTTCGGTTTTAGCCCAGAAGGGGGGTAGGCCCAGCCCTGGAGGCCAACACAGAATGAGAGAGAGATAAAGAAGTTCCAACTGCGACGAAAGTGCTGCAGAGTTACTGGAGAGAGAGAGAGAACTAGAATTCTGAGAACAGAAAAAGACTGCTTCTCCTCCTTGGACTGATATAAAGGGAAGTGGAGAGAGAAGTATCTTTTATAAATACATAGTACCTTTTACTCAAATAAAATTGTTGTAAATATAATTCTTTAGTTTTAGTTTATTAATAATAAATACTCATACTCTTTTTTTTAATTCAGTCTCTTTTTGTCTGCATAAACCTTCTCTCAACTAATAGTAATTGTATGTGAGGGTATAAAAGTAAATTGAGCCAAAGCAAAACCACGACACTACTATCTGTCATTAGAAAGAAATTTAACCACAGTTTTGAAATCGAAAGTAATGCCCCATGTAGCCAGGCGGGAGGGTGAGAGTCTGGGTCATTATGCATGGCTGCTGTTCATCCTTCCCGCACACAGGTCCCCCCCACAGGCTGGGCCATGGTGGCACCGTGTGTGTCACACACACAGTGATGTCACTGGCTGATGTCGGCTGAGGGGGCGTTGGAAGAGCGTAATAATGACATCAGCAATTAAAGAGAGGAAACTGTGTATTTTACCTTGGATTCACACAAATACGAGGGATTGTTTCAGGGAGTCCTTGTACCTCCTCTTTGGGGCTCCTCTCTTGCGGTAGCCAGTGGCAAGTTCCCCATAGAGCACGATCTTAGGGAGGCGGTAGTCCTGCATCCTGGAGATGTGCCCTGCCCAGCGCAGCTGTGTTCTCAGCAGCATGGCCTCAATGCTCGTGACTGCTGCCTGTTCAAGGACAGACGTGTTGGTCACATAGTCAGTCCAGTGGATGTTTAGAATTGTACGGAGGCAGCGCTGATGGAAGCGTTTCTAAGAGACGCAAGTGGTGCCGGTAAATGACCCATGATTCAGATCCATATAAAAGAGTAAACAGTACAAGTTGCCACTGGCTGCCGCAAGAGAGGAGCCCCGAAGAGGAGGTACAAGGACTGCCTGAAACAATCCCTCAGCCTTGGCCATATTGATCACCACCATTGGTCTACCCTGGCCTCCAATCGGGAGGCCTGGAGACACACCATCTATAACGCTGCTGCTGCTTTTGAGAACACACGCAGGATCACTCTCGAGGAGAAAAGACAACGCAGAAAGAATCGTGTCTTGTCGATATCTGGGGAGTCTTTCTGCTGTACCTTCTGCAACCGGACTTGTCTATCTCGCATTGGCCTTTTTAGCCATCAGCGCGCTTGTAGCAAGCGTGGGTAGAGCCCTTCTCAAATCTTCGTTCGTGAAGCCCAGCCATGACGATGACACAAATACGCCAGCCACAGATCTAGAGACCCAAATTCACACATTGCTCTGCTGCCTCACCCGGCACCCACAAAGCAGCTGCACGCCAGTGCGCCGTGTCACAGCCGCCACTGGTACTGGTTTCTTCTACCAGGCACCGTGATGGAATCCCCAGGACAGACCAGCCACCCCTTGCCCTGTCTCGGCACAGCCGCCCAGCCAGTGAGGGCAGTCCCCGCACGGCCCAGGCCCCGCTGCCCGGCCCGGGCCCGGCCGCCCCTGCACAGCCCTGCTGAGCCACGGCCGGCGCGCGCGCTCGGAGGGGCGGGGCCGGGCGGGGCGGGGCGCGGGCGCGCGGGAAAGCGGCCGTCGCGGGCGCGTGCCCCGGCGGTGCGGCGCGGCGCGGCGCGAGGCGAGGCGGGGTGAGGCCGGGCAGGGCCGCCATGGCCGCGCTGCTCTGCCGCTCCTACGTGGTGGCGGGCGGCGACGAGGGCAGCGACAGCGACAGCGACGAGGGCGGCTGGGACATCGGCATCGTGCGGCAGGAGCCGCAGGTGGGGCTGAGGCTCTTTGCGCCCGGCGGCCGCGGCCGGGCCGCCTCGGGGTGGGGGGCGGCCTCGGCCCGGCGGTGAGGAAGCCGAGCGCAGTGGGTCCCCGGGGAGCGTGCGCCTGGTGCTTCCTCTGAGGCCATTTCCCACCAGGGCGGCCTACCCTCAATCCATTAAAAGAAACCTGAGTGTTAGTTTAAAAGACTTGTCTTCCGTTTAGTAGCATGCCCGAGTCCCTCTTTCAGCTTGAGGGTGAAAGTGACCAGAGTCCTGTAAAACTGTTTTATATGTAGAATCTGTGAGACTGTGTCTTGCTAAATTGGAGATTTCAGTAGTTTTATTGCATCTAACAGGTGTGAGGCATCTGTTAGTGTTAGGTAGAGGGAGATTCCGTGAGTGGTTTTAGGTATTGGTTTGTCTCGTGGCAGGAATTGGAAAATGGAAGTAACTGAATTCTTGCAGTACTCAGGCTGAAGGTTATAGCGTTGCTTTAGGGTCTTGGCCTTGAAGTAGAGCTTCCTATCCAAAGGTGTCCATTATTTAAAAATTGCTGGCTGAAGCAGAATAAAAATAAGGCTAAATTATTTCATTGTCTCTTTCTCACCTTTGATTTTCTAGACACTTGGTAAAATCTTTACAAAAGTTTTTGGAAAGGTGTGGTACAATGTGCTGTGAAAATTGTATAGCTCTGAGTTATAATGTTATGAGCTAAAAATTTATGATAAAATAACTTTGTCTCATACTCACTTCTGTCCATAAAGAGACTATTGAATAATCTTATCACTAGTGTATATGAGTGTTCTGTACAAATCTGTACAGTGCCAGCATCAATCTCCAGCTGCATCTGCAGCTTTGATAGAGGAAAAATCTGTCATGCTTTTGAAAAGAAGTTAAATTGGGCAAGGTCTGATGTATAAACTAGTCTTTTGGTGAGAGTATTTTTCAGCCAAATCGTTAATGATGCAGCAACACAAATGCCACTGTCACCACAGGATTAGGAGGAAGGGTAGCCCTTCACAGCAGTGGACTTGGGCTGTGTTAGGCCAGACAGATGGTCACTGAGCTCCCTTGAGCCAATCTCAAACTTCCATGTCTGATAGTTACATTTTTTAATGTTGCACTTCACAACATATGAAATGTGCACAAAAAAAAAAGGTACAGAAACGCGTTGCTAAGTTTTTCTAGTGCCATAAGATGAAAACAAATTTTCATTGAAATCTAATACTGGTAAGAAAAACTGAGGGCAGCATAGGAGGATAGCAGATCTGTTGAGAAAGAAAATATTTACATTTTCAGAGAACGGAATCTTTCAGAATAATTTGTTTTCAAACTTAGGCTTTGTGGTAGACCCTAAACAGATCTACAGAGATGGAAGAAGGAAAGTTGTCTTGCTCTTTCTCTGCTCCTGCACTCTGCTCTTTCAGAGACCATTAGCACTTTTATACTGAAATGAAACTATATTGGTTTTGCCTTGAAACAGTCGGTAGGTTTTAACTTAACTTTTCCTTGTTTATCTAGCAGTTGGATCAAATGTTACAGGCGGAAAAGAATGAGGCATTAAAGAAGGCTCTGTTTCGTGGTGATGTGTCTTTAATTGAAGAACTCTTAAACTCAGGTGAGGAAAGGAGTACTCGTTTGAATAAATTGTAAAGTTTCTCCTTCCAAAATGACACGTTGAGTGCATGTAGGAATATGTGAATGTTTCCAATACAGGTTCTAAACTCTTATTTTAAAGATTAAATTACTTTTTCAGTGACTCAGCATTCAGGATTCCAGCACGTTCCTCCTAACTTATGGGTTTTTTTGTCAGTCAGGAGCCCTGAAAATTGAGAAAACTGTAATAGTGTGAACTGTGAAATGTTTCTTTGTTTTCAGATGCATCTTTAGCCTGCAAATATCAATTACAAACACTGAATTTGACGTGGTTTATATTGAGGGGGAGAATTCAGTGGGTGGTCTTATTTTGGTGTTGAAGGTTGTATGGGGCAGGGTAAGAAGGGGAGGCTAGCTTTTCTTTTTTTTTTTTTTTGGTCTTAATGCTTCCCCAGTTAGGAAATTCCTTTTCTTTTTTGTTTATTGGGGGTTTTTTGCCTCCTTCAGAGCACGGTTAAGTTTCTGGTATGTGCCCAGTGTGATACTGCTGTCCTGGCAACATCAGCTGGACAAAGATTTTGTGATTCTGAAAGGTCTAACAAGCTTTATGTGGCATTTGTCACCAAAAAGTAGTTTGTTTTAATACCAAAAGCCTTTTTTCCTGTTCTTTTACTTAGTATTTGTCTGTAATGTGTTTGTTAATCAGTGTTAGGCAGATTGGATCATTTATTGAAGCATCTAGGGCAGAAACTGCATAGCTGAGCTGACCTGCCTAGTGATAATTGTCAGGAAGTTCTGCTTCAGCAAGCAAGGAGAATATAGTACCCAAGAGCTTGTTCTCTAAGGAAAATCTGTCTTATGGCTGGAAGAAAGTAGTTTCTTAGTTAGCAATGGGTTTTTTTCTGAGTTTTAAAACAGTGACATTACTTGTCCTTTTAGAAGATGACTGTTTCTCAATACGATGGGGAAATGGTTTTCTTTTTACATGAAGTAAAACTATTGCATGGACTGAAATAGAATAGATGGAGTGCGAGCGTGAAATACATCTGTCTTGACTTGAGAAAATATGTTCTTATTTATGGGTAGAATTTTTAGTTATGTCTGTGCATCAGACTTCTTAGTTGTTTTGTTACAACCATCCATTTTCAATTGCTTGTATTGCAGTCAAACATCAATAGTTCACTTTCTGTGTTGATACCTGATACACAGTGAACAGTTCTGTGCTGCTAGAAGATAGGTATCTGTAAGAGCATAAGGTCAGGCCAAAGATTCATGTAGTCTAGTTTCCTGTCTCCTGAAATGAACAGGGTGGTATCACAGAAGATTATATAAAATGAGATCAGCACTAAATTTTGAGCCATCCAGTACTGTCCTGAAAAGCAGTAGAACACAATAATTCTCTATCAGAGAGATCTTTCTGAAGAAAGGTGACATTATCCTTCAGAGGATTGGTGCTCAGTCTGATTAAATCTTTGCCACCAGAGTTGCCTTTAGTGTATGTTCAGTAGAGCTTGTAGGAGACTCACTACCAGCACTCCACCAAACTGAGGGTTTGTGTTTGAAGTGGATTTCCTAGCAACTGTTGGGGCCATTCTTTCAGGTAGGGTGAGAACATGTTGTCTTCTGGTTTGCTTAAATGTTGCTTTAAGGTCTTTGGTGCTGAGGCAGGTTTAGAGAGCTCCTTTAGGAGATGGACAAGCACAGTGTTTTCTCTCCTCACTCCTGTAAAACAGCAGCTTGTTAAGAACAAGTTCCTGAAGTACAGTGTTACAAAAAGTAGTGCAAGCAAGTAGCAGGTTCAAAGATGACTTGAGCATTTTGGTCTGCTTTGGGATTAGAATAGTTAATGCCATATAATTAATGTGTTTGATATCCTGAAGGGGAATTCAAAGTTAGGACCTCATGATGGTTAAGGCCAATTAAAAATGTAAATACAGTCAAATCCTCTTTCCTGTTTTAATTCAGCAGTTTGTTCCACTTATATCTTTGCATGAGTGCTGGAGTGCATCTCATCTTTTGTTAGCCAGTTCAGAGAATTACAAATACTAGTAAACTACAGGAGTGGGAGGGGGCAGGATATGTGAGAATAATTCAGTTTAGGACTTTGAGCCCTGAGTCAGGTAGGAAAGTCAGGTTGTAGTTCTTCAGGCTTGCTAATCTTTTTGAATTTGAGGTGCATTTTTCTGTATAAAAATAGCCTTTCTACCATAGTTATTAGCCACAGCCAACAGAGTATCTGAACGGGATACCAGACAAACTGTAGTAGTTACAAAAAGAATGCAATTCTTCCTTTGCTGTTCTTTTGCTTCACCATTATTGATATGCTTCACATAGTTTCTGCTGTAGAGATCACCTTAGGCCAGAATTATTTCTCCCCATTGCTGGTTAAAGAGGAAGATATTTATCCGTTAACTCAGATTGTAAGAAAGCACGTTGTATCTGGTTTCTCTCCTACCTATAATTTTTGGTATCATGTGACTGAAAAATCTTCTCTGTTTATACCTACAAAGGAGCACAAAGAGGTAATGCCGGGTGGGGGAGCCCAAATAATAGCCTGACCCGGCTCTTCCCAGGCCCATCATGAAAGCCAGTAGCCCATCACAGGCGCATTTCTACAGTCTCAGAGGCAGGAACACAAATTACAGTCTCAAAGGAAGGGCTCTCGTAGGGCCCTTGTGCCTTTGGGCCAAGTGCCTTCAGAGACAGGAGCGAGTGAAAGATGTGCCAGTCACACGAGTTGGACCACAGGTCAGAGGCCTATGTGTCTGTGATGCCAGCAGCTGGAGGAGGTAGATGGCAGGATGAGACTATTGGCACTCTGTTCAAAGAGTGCTCTGGCTGTGGTGATCACTGTGGCCTGTGGTGTATGTGTGTGCTGGCTGGGAATACGTGCTCAGCATCGGTACAGGTTGGACCTTGGGTTGTGGAGCTACAGCAGACTTACTTCTCTCTGGCTGTTGAACCTAGCCTGATTTTTTGCTAAAAAGTGTTTTTCTGGGCTTCACTGTTGCCTTACAGGATTTCTTACAGGCCATTTTAAATGCTGAACTAATGCTGCTTACTTCAACAGCTGCTCATGTAATGAGAGTAATAACATACCTGAGTAGTCACCAAGGTGAGACATTTCTGGTTCAGTCAGCAGCTCCTAAAACCATGCAGCCAAGAAGCAACATGACTTACTGTTTCTGTTGTCCTTTCTTTGTCTTCCTCTGGGACTCCAGCTGGTTTGCATTATGACTTTCACACTGAGTGATACTTCAAGTCAGTCACTGCAAAGATGGCAGGAGACCATGCAGGACAAACAACATACCATTGCCAAATAGACCGTTCTAATTCTAGAACTTAAAAGAAGCACCAGCATCATGGCAGATACTGTCTGCTATATGAGTAAAGAAAGCATTGAGGAAAATACCTTCTCAAGAAGTTTGATAGGTCTTTCTATGCCTGTCAAATAGATCCTTTCTTGCTATGGGTCAGATACATATTAAAATAAAGAAAGATACATATTAAAATAAAATATAGAGCTCTGGATGTTACACAGACTGCTGACTGCTTTTCGTATGAGGAAAAGAGACTTCTTAAGGCTGACAGGGTGACCCCTTCTTGGTATTTCTTTCTTGCTAGTGTTATTTCAGTGGGCTGTTGAATCAGAGACACTAAATTCTTGAAATGACTTGTCTACAAGGAAGTTCAGATATGATGCTAAGGGACACTTGCTGGCTCTCCTTGTAGAACTTGTGTATGGGTTTCAACAGAATGTTTTGCACCCTGCAGAAAAACTGATGTACTGTGGCACTAAGGGCTGCAGCTGCTATGTATACATCACCAAGTAGATTTGATTGTAAGTTCTGTGGCTTGCAGGTGTTAGAATGCTTCAACACATGGCTTTCATTGCTGCCTCTTTACTGATTGCTTCTACAATTCCAGTGATCTAACAGTTAAAGAATCAATCCAAAAGCAGTGACCTGTTAGTCCCTCAGTTTTAATGACTTTATATTGCTACACTGAGCACATCTTTGGCATTGTACCAAGGAAGGGAAAGTAAATACATATTTTGCATGAAAAAGAAGGCATGTAGCTCAACTGTCATAAATTTGTTATGACAGTTTTGGTTTTTGGTTTTTTTTTAGAATTCTCTCTTCCAAAGAAGTATTTTTTATTACCTGTAGTTACCATTGGACTAATATGGAACCAGATGATGGAAACTGTTCTAGAGGAAGTAATATTTGTTGAAGGATTGAAGGAAAGATGATTCCTCTTATTGCAAAAATGCATAGAGTTTTTTATTTGAAAGTTGTCAGATGAGTATCTCAGTCTGGTACTTGGTTCTTTGTGAATTTGGAAGGGCTGGGCTGACAGGCAGAAACACTTCTAGCTATTGTAGCTGTTCTGGCTATTACAAAGAGTAACAAACAGTTCTGGTGATTGTGATTGAATCCTGCATAGTCTCCTATTTTTTCTGTTTATTGAGATAATATTTTGTTAGTGCTGAACGCAAATCTGCCAGTTAACTGCCTTGCAGGACAGGGAATAAAAGGAGCTGTGAAGCAGGAAACCCTGGATGATATGATCTTAATTGCCTGACAAGCAATTTGCTTCCACAGCAGTCCTCTTGGCTTGGCAAGAGTCAAAATTTTTCATTTTGATCTAAGAAAGCTATTTCACAGAAGTAGAGAAAACAGTGACTCTGTGCACTTACATGAAATTATTTTTGCAGCTAGATGTTTGGGATTTTTTAATGTAGTCTTTCTGTGGTAGTTAACTCCTTGGATTGAGAACTGAACTTCACTGATGTCAGCTTTAAAAGTTGTTTTCTGGTTCTAAATAAAGATGTATTAAAAAAATGCTGCAAGAGATTTCTTTTTCTGGGACTAAATGCATAGAGGGTGTAATGATACATTCTGAGAATAAAGTTTATAAAAAGCATATTTATTGTGATGCAGTTTTATGATTTTAGTATCTCAAATTTTGACAGGCGTCAGCATAGAAACTAGCTTTCAGTTTGGATGGACTCCCCTGATGTGTGCTGCCAGCGTGGCCAACTCTGCGGTAGTGCGTCTTCTTCTGGACAGAGGTGCCAATGCATGTTTTGAAATAGGTAAGATGTGAATTAAAAATACTGACCAGTAATGCTCAGCACCAGACATTGTCCCTATCCTTATTCTCTTGTTCACATACATAGGAAAAAAAATCAAAGCTCACAGTGGAATTGGGACCTAGTCTTCCTTTCACAGTTTGGAAGTAAAAGTAGTAGTTTTAAAATAAAAATTGTGGTCTTGGAACTGATCTGGAATCAGTTGATGCGTTTTCTTGTTCTCTCTCTCTCCATCCTGTTTTCCCTCCCACGTCTCAATCAGGTGTTTTTTTTAAAAAGTATTTGTAAGTACTTGTTCAAAAATTCTAGTATAAAATTGTACAGGTAAAAACTTCCTTTGTATGATCCTGTTAGAAAGTATATCCATGCAGAAACTAGACAGCATCCCAAACAACAGGAATAGCTTTCCAGTTCATGGGAAACTAATGTGGACTTCTGTAAAACTAGAGCGCAGTTTTTCTATTAAGTGAAAACTGTTCTTCATTGTTTTATTAGATCACCTTTTTCTGCAAGAATTCAGTGTGGCTTCTGAATAATATCAGTTCCTCTGTCAATTTTTATGGCTTAATAATAACTTTTTCCTACTTAAACTGTGGTTATTTTCCTTCTCTTCCATTGTGTTGGAATATTTATCCCGCAATACTGCCAAGTATGTAAAAGCAGTGATCATGTTTTCCAGTAACTTACCAATATCTGTAGTAATAGTAGACTAAAATGCAGATGGTACAAATCTGGCTCTGAAAGTATTCTATAACTTCTTAGCAGTTGATCAGAGTATGAGATTAGAGTAGACTGCCTGCACCAAAAGCAGACATGCCACCTTCTAGTTACTGTTTTTGTGGCCAGCTTCAGGGAACTTCCATGTGGCTGCCTACAGCTGTGGCTACCTACAGCTCAGCTGTTCCTTGTTTATGGCTGTAGAGCGCTATAAATGGGGCAAAAACTGCTATGGGCAATAGTTTAGAGTGTCCAGGTAACCAAATGTTTGGCATTTTTTCAGTGTGTAACTATATTTGCTCAAAGTGGCACCTTTCTAGGATCAGGTTTCTTGGCTTGTTTCCCTGTTAGACTGTGTAGGGAAACAGTAACTAGGGCATATGAGCAGCAGAGTACAGTCTAACCGGGAGCAGTCTTGTAAGTCATTGATCTGGGTCGGGACACGTGTTCAGTAAAACTGTACCATCCTAAAATGGTACTAAATCTCACCAGTCCTGCTATTTTTTTGCATCAGCAGGCAATCACATAATAATATATTCTATAATAATATCAACATATTAATATATATGTAACATAACATAATAATAATCCCATAATAATTATCATTTAATGCTTATAATCCTATTAACAGCTATACTGTTAATCACCTTCAGTCACTCTTCAGTCATTCTTTGTAAGTGGTTACTTAATTTTACCCTTTTTGGTAGTTCTGAAGAACAAGGAACGAATATATAATTTACTATGTGATGGGTTCAAGGATGTGTTGCATCCTTGAGGACTAATTTTGCTGGATATTCTGGGTTTTTCAGCTAGGTTGAACATAAACTTATGTTTTTTGCAGTTTTTTAGCAGTTTTGTCCACAAAAGAGAAACCTAATAATTCTACGATGTTTATTCCCTTTCTCTTGCTAACATGTATGAACTTGAGGTAGGCTGACAAAAATTAGTTTCCCACTCTTTATCACTACCTGAAATACTGAAAACAAGTATAACTACAGATTCCTCCTATACGGCATTCCCATATTAATGATGTTTATCACTACTTTTTTTTAAAGTCCTGACATCTTACCATTCAGGTTCTGGTTGATAACCAGGTTAAACATTTTGAGTTAAAATTGGTCACTGTACCAAGTAATAATTTCTATGTGAGTTAATTGAAAATTAAAAGATTGTATATTAAAAAAACCAAATTAATTTAAATGCAGAACTAAGTTGGGGAGATGAGGGACAAGAAGTGCTGAGAAATAGAGCAGAGAGGGTAAAGTACATAACAAACTTTCCATGTTTAAATACAATGAAGTCTGACCTCAGTTGAAGAATAAAGATGTTAATTATACAGTCTTAAAATTTCTACAAGAAAATTAGAAAATATGTTGTAACACTTGATGATGTGGTTTGAAGTAGGTACATCTAATACACTTGTTAAAATAAATTGCTGAAGGCATGTTTGAACTTGCGAACAGGTTTGTGCAGTAAGCAAAATGGGCAGTTATTCAGGTGGCAGTCTTCTAAATGACACTGGGGCCAACTAACTTGCTAGGATCCCCAAGGCATTACACTTCCCACATCTCTCTAGGTGAACCATGCCAAATGGGAGCTCCTGTGTTCTGTGGGCAGGCAGCAATGGTGTACAATTTTGATCTGTGAGCAAAGGTGGCATCGAACACCAAACCGGCTACAAAACTAGAGTAGCAGATAGCTGAGTATTCTTATGGATGGTGTAGATGATTCTAAATCCGCATCTACAACAATACTTTTAATACTCCTTCTGCTACTACTGCACCATAGTAACCTAATAAATTTAATTCCTTCTCCTTAAGACCTGTTATAAAGCTTTGTTCCTTCAACTGTGCGGCCCTCAGTTTTCCCTGAAACAGATGCTGCTATGTGTTTATAACACATTTCGTGCACCTTTTTTTGTCCATTGCAGTTTACTTCCTGTAAACTGTTTCTTCCTTAGACTGGAGGGGAGGAACAGGGACTGAATTGACTGGTGTGGAACGTGTTTTGAAAAACAGCCATCCACAGTTAAACTCCTACTGTTATTGTGGGGTATTTTCAAAGTATTCTAAACTTCAGTAGAAATACTATTTACTAGAAATATATTTGCTGTTGTGATTCACTCTCGTCTTTCTGAGTATCTTCTCAGGTGCCTTTGTCTTATCTGATAACTCTAGTGACATTCACAGACAGAAAAACAAGTTTCTTAGCCTCTTCTAAATAGCTTAGAGTATCAGAACTTGATTAACAACTCTAGCAAATATAAAGGCTTTTAAAGGAACTTCTGGATTAACATGCTATTTATATTTACAGATGTAATTTTTTAATTGTAAATTTCCAAACAGGTAAATACACTGTGTTGATGGCAGCATGTACTGCACAAACTTCAGAGGAGAACATCCTGAAGACTGTAGAACTGCTTCTATCAAGGAATGCTGACCCTAACCTTACCTGCAGGTACCAAAACCCCCTTGTCTGTGAATACAGCATAAAAGTTAATATTACTATACAGAGATGTATTTATAGACATAGGTGGTGGTGTTGGTTAAAGTGAGGTGTACATACTTTTTGTGGTTTCACTGCTGTCTGTGTAAGAAAAGATTAGTGCCCGGATACTTGTATCTCCTAGTACAGTTATTAATCTGAGTAAAGACTATAATCAGTTTTATCAAATTGTAAGTAAGTTCTTTAGCTGAACAAGATTTTAAATCAATTTTTCAGTTGACTGAAGTGTAAAGGCAAGAAATATGTTTCTGCCTTTCCCAAATCATATTGCCTCTTCTTCAAAGGGATATAAGTTAAATCAGTTAATTCTTTATTTAAATTCCTGTCCTCCTTTTGAGCTTTTTGTGGATATCTAGCTATATTCCTTTAACAGACTGCCTCCTGGGGATAAGAAAACTCTGTAAATAAAATAAATTTATTCCACTGCAGTCTGGAATAATCCATATTAAAAGGAGATTTTAATTCCTTTTAAAAACAAATAATAGCTTCTTTCTTCAATTATAACTTTGTATCTCAGCAGTTTGAAGCAGTGCATTGTTCAAAGATGTCTGTAGTTGCACAGTCTAATGCAATGGTTCATTTTACGTCAAAAATCAATAAATTCTGGGCTATCCCAGGGTAAACTGTCCTGCCTCTGTTGAAAAAAAGAAAATGCTACTTGGGTCAACTGGTTTTTCAGCTAACTGAAACTTTTTATACCACAACTCTTTCATCACATTACCTGGGATATATAGACTAAGTAGCTCTCTAAAAAGAATAGAATTGAAGGCCTCTTGCTTTTCATTAGTAGCATTCCAATACACAAGGCCCCGGACCTCACTGTGAGCATAGTACTGATAGACAAGGAGGAAACAATTGTGCTGATGTGCCACTTATGTCTGGTACCAAATTTAAATGCCATTCTTTTATTCTTATCAGAGAGGCTAAAAATTCTTCATGAGAGAAGAGAAGAGAAAGCTACAGTGTTTGAATTAATTACATATTATTGTTGTCAGATAGCTGGGTGTTAGATTAAACATCCTGCTTTAAAAAATGGGGGAGGTCTTTGCATTATTAACTTTGTCTTGGGTCTTGAAAATGTAAACCAAAGTGTAAAGCTGAAGGTTTACATTTGCAAAGGCCTTTGGCTAAACTTTGCTGGGTAAAAAAGTTTGGATGCTGACACAAAACATAGGAATTTTAAGGGCAAAACTTTATAAATAAACTTAGAGTATATTTTGCATTGTTGATCTTTATATACAAATATTTATTTACTATCTCTTTGTTTCCCAAGACCTTTTGCTAATGGGAGTTATGCTTGCATCCATCAGATAGTATTTAGTTGTGTTCTTTTCACTTTTGCAATAGTAGCCTTTCTCAAATGAAAAGATAAATTAAGTGACAATCAGAAATGTCATATTTGTGCCAAACAAAAGTAGAAGCTTGAAAAATCCAGACCACATCATCTAAAATCCTTGTGCTGCTTTTATGCCTTTCCAGTGTTTGACATCTGTGCATACCACTCCACCCTTAGGTCTGCTCAGGCAGCAGCTGCTGCTTCTCATGTCTTCTTCCTCCGTTTCTGAAACAGATATGAAACACAATGAACAGGGTTATGTGAAGATAAGGGATCAAACAGCCCCTCTCTGTGGCACTTCAGTCCCATTTCACCCATCTCGTTAGAGCAGGCAGGGTGTTCTGTAGGAGCCAACTGTCAGTGAACTGAGATTATTGTGAGAGTGCTCCCTGAGTGATCAGCCTGCCACAGGTGTTAAGATGTAAGGCTCACATTATTTGAGTTTTTCAGTGCTTAAGAACCAGAATGATTTAAGAAGCTTTTCTTTTATCCACCATCAACTGGAATGTATGTGAATGCAAAGCAGAATACTTAAATTTCATGTAAGGCAGAGTTTAATGTTCGTCCTTTTGTTGTTGCACTGTCGGGGCAACCGGTAGGCTCTTTTATTTCGTGTCATCTGGAGGTGATACACAGAAGCTTTCTTTTTTTTTTAATTTTTTTTTGGTCTGATTTACTAAGTCTGTGTGAAACAGGGAAGGACTAGTGAGAAACAAACTGGAAATCTTTAAGCAGTCTTTTTTTAAACCATTTTTTAAATCTCCGTGTTTTCTTAAAAGTTACACTGGTTTTATTAATGTTAAGTTAGGAATTCAATTAAGGCAAAATGAAAATGCATGACCAACTGGTAACTAAATTACTGCTGCTAGGATAACATGTCATAAGTTGTTTAGTAAATACGGGTTTTATTGACAGCATCCTCCAAGTTTTTGTTTACATAAAGCAGAGTTAAAGAATTGTAATGGATTTGCCTTTAAGGAGAGTGTTTTGAGTTGATGTTTGATGGTCATAGCTGTTTGTTATAAGAAGGTACAAGTAGATAAATGACTGAAACCTCCTTTGTTTTGGCATAAAGTCTTTGTCTCTTGTTCTGTATGGGATACGTGAAGGCTTGATTTTGTTTTTGAGTCATTTTTTCCCCTCACTTTTAATGTTTCTGGCACAATTGAGTCCTAGACAATGAACAAGCCATTCTTCAGTATTTCTGCTCTAAAATGGTTACAGATTTTTTGTACATTTAAAAGAAAGTCTTCAGAAAGTCTTGTGATTTTTTTTCCCTCTTTTTTTTTTTTTTTTTGATGAGTATTAGAAGAACTAGACCTTTTGTCTTTTGTAATTGTGCAGATTAAAAGTTGAAATGTACTGTCATGTACATGAATGCATGTACATGAAAGGTATAATCACTTCTTAGGTCTGGTATTAAGTTGCTTATATATGTTCACTTGTGCTTCCACTCAGAGCAGGTCTGGGGAGTATCAAAAACAGTTTAATTCTTAAAATTTTGGTCTATTTTGCCCTCTTGAGAAGATGATAATGGAGGGAAAATTTTCATCGCAGCATTGCTCAGTTCACAAGATAGGTCTTCAGGTTGCGTAGTCAGAACAAAGCAATTGTGTAACACCTCAATTTTAGCAAGATATATATTGCTACTGATAAGGCAATAAATTTGCAGTGCCACATAATTTCAAAGACGTTGACGCTGTCACTGCGCGATGGACAAACAATACATTCCAGTAAAGGTAAATAGCCTGGGAAAAGTTAATGTGCTATGGTGCATTCTATGTCTGGGGCAAGGAAATGAGAGAATTTTGTACTATTGAGTCAAAATCTTTGATCCAACTCCGAGCAGAAAGTACCTTGTGATGTTATACTATATTATACTTAATGCCTTTGAAAGAGTTTTTTATCCTAGCATTGTGAATAGGATAGAAAGACTTATATTGTTGGTCAAACATCATGACAGAGGGTTTTAATATAAGAAATCAGATGCAAAATTACATTTACCAAAGTACTGTGTTCATCTGGGCTATGCCCATGCATCTCTTCCTTCCTTCCAAGTTAGGGAGAAGTCAAAAATGTGGTAAATGTGTGAGTTCTGAGTTTGGCAGGGTAAGTAACTTTTGAGCGTAAGTATTGCATCTTGTTCATCAGAGGAGTCTAGACACTAAAATAGGTGATTGGATTTTTCCCAGCTATTAATGACTGTATGGCCAGGCTTACAGCTGTGGATCACAGTTTCTGAGCAGAGGTATAAAATACTCGGGACAGTAGGGAAATGAGAAGCTATTTTTCACAGAGGCATTCTGACAGTGTACTGTGGTGTCTTGAAAGGTCACCTGAGCAGCTTTAGAGTAAATAGAAACAAAACCTGTACTGAAATCTATTAGCATTCTATCCCAAGTATGTTAAACTTTCTATCATTGCTGCTACCTTACCCTGATGATGTGCTATTTGCATAGTATTGATTTGGATTTTTTACATGATGGAGAATTGTGCTTTCCTTAGAAAGGTGTAGTAGATTTCACATGTATGTGCTGAATTTTTGACTACAGAATTTACCTGCATTTTGAAAGTAGAGTTGAAAACAGTCTGAGAAGTTTTTATTTTGTGGGTAACTCATGATTTTCTATTTTATGTTTAAGTGTACATGTTTTTAGCTAAACAAGCTTGCCTGTAAAAATGTGACAGGAGTAAGGATGTAGGAGGACAGGAAGGATAACTGTGAATGTCACCACATAGAGTTCTGCCATCCTCATTCTTAATTTTTATACTAATTCCTTTTATAATCACACCCTTTTTATTTTTCTAGTCATATAAAGATAACTTCTTAGCTCTCTACTTTCCCACCTCTGTGTGCTGTAGAACTTCCACAGATACCTTTTTTAATTTTGAAACAATCATGTAAACAGAGTTCAGAAGCAGAAAAGTACAAGAGCTGACACTTTGAAATGAAACCTAAAACTAAGGAATCTGAAACTAAGCTGTCACTTTTTCCAACCCAACCTTTTTTCTAGAGCTGTATGTTCCTTTCTCCTAGAAAGTTCTGCTTCAGGAAGGTAGAGGACTCTCCTACCTTGCTCCAGCAGACAGAGCCTGGAAAAAGTGTCTTGTAACCCACAATACACTAAAGTATTTTCTTTCAATACTACCTGTTGTATACAGTTCCCCACTTCCTCACTTAAATCCTAGTAAGCCAGAAAATGGGCAAATAGATTTCCTTCTGTTGCTGTAGACACAGTTTTGCCACTGTTTCTCAGTTTGAGGCTTAATATGCAGCACTGGAGTGGTGAAATTCCAAGAAGTTCTGAGGATGCTCTCTGGTTATCCGAAGCACTGTTCAGTTTATGGCTTAGTAGTCTTGCAGCATCATTTCCTTGCTTTGGGATCTCGATAAGAAAAGACTGAGACTAAAGTCAGGGTTAAATTGTTTTCTACCTACTGTATTTTTTCTAACATTGATACACTGGTCTAGTTAATAAACATACATCCAGTTACGAGACTTTACTTGCAACTTTTCAAGATCTTGAAATACTGAATTTTCTATAGATGTTTCCCCAATAAACTGTGTGTAAATGGGAGATATCTCTTCTCCTTCCTCTTACGAAATTTTCCAGTG